ATGTTTCTTGAGCACCAAACCAGCATATTAGTATGATTTCTGAAGTGTGATAATAAAGACTGAAAAAATGGCTGCCGAAAATTTAGCTTTGCCATCACAGGAATACAATTTGAAAATGTATTTAAAAATAGAAAACAGTTATGTTACATTGTAATATTATTTCACAATATTAATTGTGTTATAATTATTGTAATAATTATAAATTGTGTGTTTCTGAGAAAAATGCTGGATGGAAACAACAAGATATGACTGTATATTTTTTATTCAATAAGAGGGCATAAACTTCAACAAAAACACATTTCTGGAATTAATTTACATTCACATCAAAAATGTCAAGTAAGTGTCATGCTTCCAAACACTAAGCAAACATAATTTCATCCGGTTGTTTTGTCTGTGTTTTAAATGGCCACTAATTTTTAATATTACATTACACATTTTGCATATTACATTACACAACATTCATTCAATTTTTATTTAATTAAATAGTCACAGTCGCAACAACTTCCATTAATATTTTGCATCAGTTTCCTCAGAAGCGGCAATTTTTTATGTTGAACACATGGGATGGAAATGCTTTATTTTGTAATCATCTTAATAATGTAATATTCGTAATATTGTGAATATTCTACTAATGAGCCGCTCTCTCATACTACATGACATCATACAGTATTACATAATATGCAACTATGTGCCTCTACAGACTCCTGCACGGCCCATATCAAACATATTAGCCTTGTGATAAAAGAGAACATATTGAACGATATTGGAAAGCTTTAAATAATAACAGCATTTCTTTTGTTTACTAGTCAACTGCCTAAAGATGGCCTTTCCTTAGCAATGTAATTCTTACGCTTGCTGTACTGTCAACAGCAGACAGCACTGGGTGTAAGGAAAGCAAACAGGCCTTTTTTTTTGGTTCAAGCTTGCGACACTGACGTGTCCTCTCAAGATGTTCGCTGTGTGTTGCTGACTTCAAGAGAATGTTTTCAGCCTCCCACACTGCAGGTTTTTTTAGTGTCTTATGCAACGTTATTGTCTCAGATGGACAAAAAAATCTCTTAACCAACTGTGTGACCAATCAAGAAAAGAGAATTTGTAACTGCCGGAATCCCTACTTCAGACCGGGCCAATAATGATGACTGTGATACACTAATGTACAATGACTTAAGTGTCCAATATGATCATTACATACCACACAGCATGGTTGTGCAGTCTACTAATGAATGAATCCATGCCGTCCCAGAGTAATCTCTTGCAAAGTGCATCTGAAACTCAACGAAGAATATGGAGATGCATCTGGAAAAGAGAAAAAGACCACTCTGATCAGACAAAACACACACAACACACGTTTGTGGTCTTTGAAGAACCATATTGTGACACTTCAAACTAACAACACGCTTTAAAGTCCAGTGCCATTCACAGTCAGTAACAACGAACAGCCGTGTGGCACGATCCTGGTGCCTGGATATGAAAGGCTGAGACGAGGTAATGAGGCACAAGCCTCTGCAGTGCCTGTTCTGCACCTGAACAAACAAAACTAGATCACCATGCAGGTCAGTTGGGTCAGAGCACTCAGTGTGGGTATGACAGCCAGGAACTCTCACATCTTCCGCCATTAAGACAGACGTGTCTGGCCATCAGGCATCAAAGAAGGAGATGTCCTTCAGTCAACTGTTCCACAGACCCAGTCAGCAAAGCCAAGTTGCAGACTCAAAGGGTAAAATCTTACTCTAGGACTTGAATAACACATATGGATGATAAGAGCTTTCAAATTGGTTAAGACGAGAATATCCATAAGATAAAGAAGAGGTTAAAAAGGCATTTTTTTTTATCTGAAGACCACCGGCTGCCCTTTAAGCTCTAAAAGAGTTTCATCATCTGGTACCGCTCTAGCTGATTATTACCACTTATCTCAACAGGACTTAAGAAATGGTCAAAAGAGGTGAGAGGTCACATAAACTCTTTTGTTCCCACCAGCCTGCTTGAAATGTCATCCTACCTGCAACATTAATGTAATTGCAGACTAGTTCTTCAGGTTCTCGCATTTCACACCTTTCCATGTCAGTAACATTTCAATTGAACAATAAAATAATTATACGGCATAGTCAGTTCAGCACGTTCCTTGCCTGAGGGGGAAATTCAAAATACTGCAAAACAGAACAGCTTGTTTAAAGCAGTATAAAAGTAAAGAATCTCTAAACATTTTATTACAGAAAAACACATGTGTGTTAACATAACCAAGCAAAAACACCCAAGAGTTGCAGGCCGCTAGATGTAAAAAACAACAACACTGTGTTATCTATATCCATGTGTGAAGGCCTGAAAGTTGTTTACAAGTCTGTCAAATGTAATCTGACCTCAAAGGCTGCCTCAGAAACATCAGATAGCGCTTGTCACTTTGTGAACCAGTGACTCATTCTAGGCAATTCTCAACTAAATATAGTTGTGCCTCATGTACTGTACTAAACAAAAACATGCACTATTTAACAGGTTAAACTGATTTGAGAAACAAACCATGACAATATTTGGTACTGAACATCATGTTAAACCCTATGGTTTAATTATAGCTGAAAAAAACCCACCTATCGCTAAAGTTCATACACAGGTATGAACAACAGCATACGTCTTCCAAAAAGCTTACCTTGTAACAGCTCTTGTGCAAACAGTTACCACAAAGCAGCCAGCCACGATCATCCATCCCCACCCTCCATCAGGAGGAAGGACCCCTCCTTTCTTCTTTTCCTGAGCCATGGAGTCTGTCCTTCCCACCGCTTTTATTTCCCTCAAACTCCAAAACTCCCGGTCCCAAACACACGTTTGCACCTCTCTGTCGCCACACTAACACCGGTCATGGAATTCCTTCAGCAGATGTGAGGCCCGGTCAGTGACTCTGCTGAGCGCAAGATGACACAGACAGCAAAACAGGCAGGAATAAGCAACGAGCTCAGCTAAAATGATTAACAGGCACAATGGGTGATGAACATGTTCTGTAAGTACTCAGAAAATGTGAACAATACAAAACATCTTCCAGGGTTTGGGGCTCCTTTTTGCTCTTACAAATGATTCACAGTGAAAAGTGAAATGATGCATGACTGCATTCATGGGAAGTGTTTATGAGAGAGAGCCCAGTTAAGCTGACGGGTTGCCATATTAACTTGAATCCTTGCAGTCCACCTTCCTGACCCTTCTGGCCCCTATGTCCCAATTAAAAAGTGGCTTTTTTCCTTAAATACCATCCAGTTTTAGAAGCCACGAAGAGCTACAGTAAAAACAATCAAATGTGGCCATGTACACAATGTACACAGTCAGGATAAGATGATAACAGTTTTCCCCCTCTTATTATGCAACTGAACTTGTACTGTAGTTTATGACTCTTCTAATCTAGATATCAGTCGACTGTGGGAACAGCACCAATTGCACGTTATTTCAATGCATCATGAAAAACACTCATCAACTCAACAGATTTTTTTTGAAGGTAGGCTTGTCTAATTGTCTAACTGTTGATTTCTGGGATTATTTACTCTCCTCTTCCTATATTTAAAGTAGGCTATGCTTCGTCAGTATAGCAAATAATTTTATGTGTAGAAAGCAACACAACCAAAATAGTCCCTCATTAATATTAATATTATATAATATTGCTACATTTTGCACCTGCAAATCTTGTCATAATTTGCCTAATTATCAAATAGGTTACCTTAGAGAGTTAAAAAAAAATAATCGCAAAATATTACATTTGGCATAGTTAAAACTCAATATATTAATATTGTTGTTGTTATTAGAGATGTATTCTTTGTCTTTAAAAGAATGCGTCAAATCGTAAAAAAATGAATAATTACTTCTAATAATAAAGTAAGAAAACTGAGAAAGTTTAATTGTTGTTTAAAAGTTGTTTTTCTTTTAACAACGGAATATAAATTCACCAGTGCACGTCATTCGCTTGTTGAAACCAGATGTTAGAAAAAACACTCAAAGTGGTACTGAATAAAGGCACTTACCATTTTATAAAACAACCGCAAACACGGTCCAAACTTTCTCCATTCAACTCTTCTGCGATCGCTTGAGCTGGTCCAGACGTTTGAAACTCTTCTGCACATTCGTTTAATTGAGTTGGTGCAGGATGTTTATCAACATCCTGCGGCTTCCACCAGCGAACAAGTTTGCAGCAGCTGTCGGAACATCAAGACCAGGGCACATTGACATGTTTAGACGTGCGAGCTGTGAACCTATTTACCTCTGACTCCACTCCCCCTACACGTGAAAAGAAAATTATGCAAGCCAAGTATGCATGGCAGGGCATGAGTGTGGATTTCCCTCTCTAACTTGCAAAACTGGCTGCTTGGGAGTATAGTTTCAGTTGCTGTCCAGGAACAACGCCACATCTATAAGGCCAACCTGTTTTTAATTTCTGGTAAATACATTTACAAGTATTGTAACTATTCAATAGACATGTAAGGGATAATGTACACAATTTATCAAAGTTGTAAATTAAAGATGAGCGTATTGGTCCACTTTGTACAAGAAATACTATTTCAGTCTTTCCTCACAATTTCAAGTTTAATTGAACGTGTTTCTTGGCATTTTTTGTAGTGCGGTCAAACAATTATGCTGCTGCGTTCATGCCATATCGTAATTACCATAACTACTCAGCTCACGTTCTACTCAGAGCTGTTCACGTCCTCGGACTATGGCTTGGCAACACTATCAACGCCTAAACAGAGCCTGCGGTGGTCAGATGGTACAGCGGTCACGTGGTACAAGTCGTAGCTCTCAGAAAACATCTCGGTTACGTATGTAGCCTTGGTTCCCTGAGTAGGGGAACGAGATGCTGCGATGACGTCATCGCTTTGGGAACACCTTCGGTGTGACGAATGTCTGAAGCCCTTATACCATCACGCCAATTCATTGGCCAAATAGCGCATAGCACCACCCCCAAAGTGCACGTATATAAGCTATATAGCGTGCTGCGCGC